CCTTAAAATTGAATTAATCGTGGTTGAATTAACCCACTTGGCGGCTGAAGCAATCGCCTATTCCTCGACAGTGGTAACTGTTAGCTTGTTTTATTTTATTTTACGGATTATCAACATTTTCAGATTATTTAATGCTGAAACCCGTCGTCTTAATAAGATAGGGAGAAATATCTCAGGTTTGTAAGAACGTTAAAAAGGTCCATATAAATCTGGTTTGCATGAAACAGCAAAATATAGACATATGTCCGCTTTGCATTGAAGTAAAAATTGTAGATATTGATTTGGTTTGCACAAGAGTCAAAAAGATAGACATCTTGTCAGTTTATACGAGAATCAACAAGGTAGACATCTGGTCGGTTTATACGAGAATCAACAAGGTAGTCATATGGTCGGTTTATTCGAGAATCAACAAGGTAGACATCTGGTCGGTTTATTCGAGAATCAACAAGGTAGACATCTGGTCGGTTTATTCGAGAATCAACAAGGTAGACATCGTGTCAGTTTATACGAGAATCAACAAGATAGACATCTGGTCGGTTTATTTGAAAATCAACAAGGTAGTCATCTGGTCAGTTTATACGAGAATCAACAAGATAGACATCTGGTCGGTTTATTCGAGAATCAACAAGGTAGTCATCTGGTCGGTTTATTCGAGAATCAACAAGGTAGACATCTGGTCAGTTTATACGAGAATCAACAAGGTAGTCATCTGGTCGGTTTATACGAGAATCAACAAGGTAGTCATCTGGTCAGTTTATACGAGAATCAACAAGATAGACATCTGGTCGGTTTATTCGAGAATCAACAAGGTAGTCATCTAGTCAGTTTATACGAGAATCAACAAGGTAGTCATCTGGTCGGTTTATACGAGAATCAACAAGGTAGTCATCTGGTCGGTTTATTCGAGAATGGACAAAGTATTCAAATGGTCGGTTTATTCGGGAATCAACAAGAATAACATCTGGTCAGTTTATACGAGAATCAGCAAGGTAGTCATCTGGTCAGTTTATACGAGAATCAACAAGATAGACATCTGGTCAGTTTATACTAGAATCAACAAGGTAGACGTCTGGTCAGTTTATACGAGAATCAACAAGGTAGACATCTGGTCGGTTTATACGAGAATGGACAAAGTATTTACCTGGCCGGTTTATTCGAGAATCAACAAGGTAGACATCTGGTCAATTTATACGAGAATCAACAAGGTAGTCATCTGGTCGGTTTATTCGAGAATGGACAAAGTATTCACCTGGTCGGTTTATTCGAGAATCAACAAGATAAACATCTGGTCAGTTTATACGAGAATCAACAAGATAGACATCTGGTCAGTTTATACTAGAATCAACAAGGTAGACGTCTGGTCAGTTTATACGAGAATCAACAAGGTAGACATCTGGTCGGTTTATTCGAGAATGGACAAAGTATTTACCTGGCCGGTTTATTCGAGAATCAACAAGGTAGACATCTGGTCAGTTTATACGAGAATCAACAAGGTAGTCATCTGGTCGGTTTATTCGAGAATGGAAAAGTATTTACCTGGTCGGTTTATTCGAGAATCAACAAGGTAATCATCTGGTCGGTTTATACGAGAATCAACAAGGTAGTCATCTGGTCGGTTTATTCGAGAATCAACAAGGTAGACATCTGGTCGGTTTATTTGAGAATCAACAAGGTAGTCATCTGGTCGGTTTATACGAGAATCATCAAGATAGACATCTGGTCGGTTTATTCGAGAATCAACAAGGTAGACATCTGGTCGGTTTATACGAGAATCAACAAGGTAGTCATCTGGTCGGTTTATTCGAGAATCAACAAGGTAGTCATCTGGTCGGTTTATTCGAGAATCAACAAGATAGACATTTGGTCGGTTTATTCAAGAATCAACAAGTTAGACATCTGGTCAGATTATACTAGAATCAACAAGGTAGTTATCTGGCCCCTTTGCACTAGATTAAAAAGCAACCCATCTAGTTTTAATATAAATCATCTCTGATAAAAAACGCCTTAATTATATTTCAGTACGTACTTAATCATGGCTCTTCACTACTTCCTATCCTTGTTAGCTCTTAGCAATGTTTATCTTTTTACTATACTCCTCATTCATTGCTCTGCCATCCATTTACACGTTGGCTAAGTAGGTTGATCGTTGCTCTCCACTACTTCCCATCCTTTTATATCTTAGCAATGTTTATGTTTTTATTATCCCTCTCACTCACTGTTCTGCTATCCATTTACACAAGATGGCTAGGTAGGTTGATCGTGCCTCTCCACTACTTCCTATCCTTTTATATCTTAGCAATGTTTATCTTTTTATTATCCCTCTCGCTCACTGCTCTGTCATCCATTTACACAAGATCGTTAAGTAGGTTGACGATAGCTCTCCACTACTTCCTATACTTTGTAACTCTTAGCTATGTTTGTTATTTTACTATCCTCTTCATTCTCTACTCTGCCGCTATTTACACAAACTCTTTAGGTAGGTTGAGCACAGCTCTCTACTACTTCCTATCCTTTGTAGCTCTTAACAGTCTTTGAATTTTTACTATTCTTCTCACTCCCTGCTCTGCCAACCATTGAAACGTGCTCGTTAGGTAGGCTGATCATGACTCACCACTACTCTCTATTCTCGTAATAAAAAAATTGTTGGAACTGCTTGGTACCCCTGACACATTTTTAAAGGATATTAGAATATTCTACAACTTATACAGGAAGAAATTCGCCTAAATATGTCTAGAAAATGAATTCAGTAAATATACAGAAATAGAAAGGAGTGTAAGACAAGGATGTGTCTTCTCACCGGACTTCTTCAACCGATACAGTGAGGCGATTCTGAGAGAATTAGAAGTCCTACAAGGATTCATTACTGGCGGCCAGAATCTAACAAAAGATATGCAGTTGACGTAGTGTTAATTGCGCACATGGAAAAAACAATTGCAGGAATTGTTAAAGAAGGTAGCAAAGAAAAAGAAAAAAAAGAACTAAACATCAATTTCAAAAAGATAGAATAAACAAAAAGAAGATGCCCAACATGCGAATTACAAACTGTAGATGCCAAAGTCAAGCAAGTACAACAATTTAAATATCTTGGAAGTGTTTTAATAGAGGAAGGAAAATGCGACACCGAAATCCGAAGGTGCAAAGATGCCTTCCAAAACCTAAGCAAAATAATAAGAAACAGAAAAATCTCTTTAGAAACAAAGACTGCCCTGTTATGTCACATCGGCCCTGCTATATGGCAGTACAAGCTGGACAATCTCCTTACAGATGATGAAGGGACTTGAAGCAACAGAAAGGTGTTTCTACAGAAGAATGCTGAGAATACCATGGACTGAACACGTGAGCAACGAGGAAGATTAGAGATAATGGAAACAAAAAGGAACACTTATGCTTAACATCAGAAAAAGACAGTTCAAATTTGTAGGTTATATAATGTAGAAAGAGGGTCTAGAAAGTTTGATACTCACAGCATATATTGAAGGCAAGAGCGACAGAATATAACCCTACCGAATAAGATTGCGTAAATGGATGGCAGAAGAGAATCTAGGAAAGAAAGTTAAAAAAATAACATTTACTAAGATCTAAAAATGACAGAAAATCGTGGACAGCCATGATCGTCAACGTCCCATCTATCTATCTATCTATCTATCTATCTATCTATCTATCTATCTATCTATCTCGTTATTCTTTTTCATGTCTTTCTTTCTTTCTTTCTTTCTATCTATCTATCTATCTATCTAGCTAGCTAGCTAGCTAATTCTGTTAATACCCATCTCTTTATATTGTTATTCAATCTATCTAGTTCTGTTCATAAATCTCCTTATATTCTATCTATCTATCTATCTATCTATCTATCTATCTATCTATCTCGTTATTCTTTTTTCTGTCTTCCTTTCTTTCTTTCTATCTATCTATCTAGCTAGCTAGCTAGCTAGCTAGCTAGCTAATTCTGTTCATACCTATCTCTTTAGATTGTTATTCAATCTATCTAGTTCTGTTCATAAATCTCCTTAGATTGTAATTATATCTATCTATCTATCTATCTATCTATCTATCTATCTATCTATCTATCTATCTATCTATCTATCTATCTGTTTCCCACTCTCTTCATATCTATATATGTATCTACATTATATTTTCTGATATTATTACTGTTTTCTTTCTTTCTTTCTTTCTTTCTTTCTTTCTTTCTTTCACAGCTTGTTCATTATCTATCTATCTATCTATCTATCTATCTATCTTTTCTAAACTATCTTTTTTCATATACGCAATAATACATGTTTGTTTATATTTATCTATCGGTGGTTACTCTTCGTCAGTCTCTCAAATTCTATCTATCTATCTATCTATCTATCTATCTATCTATCTATCTATCTATCTATCTATCTGATAATGTGCTCAGCATATTTGTGTGTTTGATGTTATCACTAGCAAAATCCGTTTAGGCAGCTGTAATAACAATCTGGCCGTTACACAATTACAAACACAAAATATACAGTTCTATGTTCCTTTGTCTCCACCTGATCAGCTTTGTTCCTCGTGGACCAACTTCTCTTTATATTTGGACCCAAAACAAAACTTTAGACGAAATCACTTGTGTGGAACTCGTACGATGCCACAAACCCCGAGACACAAAGCGAAGTAAATAAAAAAAGGGGAAGATGCGAAACAAGGAGTAACAATAATATTTATTACTTAAGGTTGGAACTAACAGGCTTCTTAAACTTACTTCTAGTGTCCTCTCCTGCCATAAATGAAGGACGTTCGATTTGTATTTTTTTATTTTTACGATTCATCAACCGTTTGCAGGTTATTTAAAGCCAGAAAATATTTTTCGATTGTAAGAATTTTGGGGAAATAACAATGATTTACAAGTCCTACTAATTAACCCATAACTAGGGGAGATGTGTTGGATTTATATTTATCTCAAGCGTGTACGCCACTGGAATTAAAAATCGGCTTTCCAATTTCCGAATCCGAGTTGTAAAGTATAACACCACCCACACAGTACCTGGTATTCCCAAGCGGTCACCCATGTAGGTACTGGCTAGGCTCGATGTTGCTTAACTTCGGTGTTTCAACGTGATACAGCCGTAAGTCCTGAAGGACTGGAATTAAAACTCGGCTTTCCAATTTCCGAATCCGAGTTGTAAAGTATAACACCACCCACACAGCGGATTCATACTTTTCCCAAGGGTATTAGCACGTAAATGAACGTAATGGATTCAACTGGATTTCGAACTCGGCTCTCCGATTCCGCAATCCAAGACGCTATCCATCCTTCACTACTCTTTTTCAATTTATACTATTGTTCACTCAAGAACTACAAAGTAGAAAGTCACTGAATAAGGCTGTTTAAAGACATACAAAGAGGGAGTAAGCGGGGAAATAATAAATTTAATCTATGAAGATTATCCAATCAGCAATATATCTTGATGATTGAAAAACTAATTTAAATTGACTTGAAGTAGTTTTCATTTTTAAACTGCTAAAATTGCTGATTTTAGCGCCATTTCTAGCTATCTTTCATCAGAATATAATTCTCTTGATTAAAAATCTTCCAAAAATCAAATATGCTTTTCTGAAACTTTATTTGGGGATGATTAGGTAATGTAAAGTTTATTTAATCTGATTTGAAATAAATATTACTTACTTTATGTTTAAAATATCGCAAAAATGTGTTCATTTTAACTCGGCGGCAAGAATTTATTTTAAGCTGTTCACATGTTGACCGCTTGTATGACAGATGGAAGTTTATCTAATGTTTTTCTACGGTGCATATATCTGTAAAACGTAATTGAAGAAAAAAACGTGAGCGCCTTTTTATATAATTTTTTTAACTACACAGTAATCTTAAAAAATTAAGAAAATATTCTCCGTAATCTAATATTTTATTGAATTTTTGATAGTTTCGCTTTAAATTTACTGTACTTATAGGTTTTATTTTCTAATAAGGTCGTATATGATGCCCTTATCTACAAAATTCGACACGGAAATACACATACAAAAAAATTCAAAATTCTTTTAAAAATATTGGTGCTTGATGATTTGTACTAAGTTTGTCCATTTATGATTAGTAAATATAGTTTTAACTTAACGATATCACCTAACGGGGACAATGTAATGCAGAAATCTAAAAAAATTGAAACTTTATAAATTATTCTAATTAAAGAAAATGAAAGAATACTTGTAAAAATTTCATTATTCATCGAGAACATATTTGTCTTAAGACAATCATGTCCATAATATATCATATACATAAAAGCAATTAAAAGCTCTCTAATTAAAATAATGACTTTTTTATTTTACGATTCAGAGCAAATTTTCGGTGTTTTTTTTTCAGTTTTCCAAATATAAATTGATGAATTAGATTATTTAAGGATTTCTGCTTTTAACTAATTTCAACAATAATTGGCACAAAATTTAATTTCATGAAATATTTTACAATTAAATAAGTGTAAAAAATATTTTTTACCAATATTTTCTAAAACAATTTCTTGAATAAATCCTGAAAGTTTTATTAAAATCCGAGAATTATTTGATTTTCGCAAGAATTTCCAAATTAATATGTTTTTCCCTACAAAAAATTTCCTATACCAATCATGGGTCACACCCCTGCCCCCAACCTGCTGATGCCAAAAACAAAACGTTAACCAAAATTTAGAACTTTCTAAAAAGGATCAAAACATATAATCCAATAATAAAAAAATCCTTTGGTCTTTATTTTTAATAAAGATTTTGACGGTAAAACTTTGTTTTTATTAATTTTTCGGTACTTATTTTCATAATGCTATGCTAATTTTTTTTGCAAATCAATGGAGGTACCTAATCTATAATATTTTAAATGGGCTTTTACAGTATTAAGTCTGTGAACCAGCCCCAGTATAATAACGAATTAAAGATTAAATTTGCGTCTCTTAGACCAAAAGACCGAGAAGCGATGGAGAACCTGGCAAGTAACAAATTGACTATCTGCAGAACACATGCTATGGTAGAGACCTTGTTTATTCAGCTTATCTTAAGCAGTCACAATAACATTTCGCGAACTCTTTTAGCAACAGTCGTGACCTGTTTACACATCGCTGCCATAAAATAGCGACTCCTTGTTTACAAATTGTTGTAAAGTCTGACACAGGGCCAAAGTTTTAGAGCTGAGATTAATCGAAATCAATAGACTGGCAATTGTCTGCTAGAACAGTTTACTAATTTTCACTCTAGTTTTGCTTATTTTTATACAAGGCCTCGATAATTGAGCATCCTGCGAGGATCAATCTTACAACACAAGATGTTCGTTTCAGAGACTTCTTATTTTACTTTTATTTTTAATTGTAAGGGTCACCGGCTACAAGCCCCCAGGGGAGGGGTGCACTCGTGGTAGATGGTTACGTTAAGAGGCAGTTTATATGGGTAGGAGAGAGATAAACCTAGACTTGAACAGGTGAAGATTGTAGTGATCCTCTTGGGAGACGGTTCCGGAGAGCAATGGCCCGCAAGAAGAAGCTGTTAGAATGAAACTGGTGCAATACCAGAATGTGGGTGGTTTGTACAATATAAGTAGCATGGCGGTTCCTAGTCGTGAAGATTAGACCTGGCGGAACCAAGGAATGTGATTCGTCCGAGCACTTTCCAGGATTAACAAAGAGCAGTTTTGTTTTGGAGGGATTAAAACATGATTTGCCCTAATTAACAACAGACTGTTGGTCTTATTTTTTTTTTTTTTAGATCAGCCGCCAATTTAACCTTATCCATTTGCTCAGACTTACTATCGCTCTCGAAAAGTAAATAGTTGTGCCATCAGCATAGATACCAAGTTGAGAACTGATTTGAACTTTTAATTCGACTTTTTAAAAAATAAAACCTGGTTTTCAGGAGCGTGGAACCACCTCTTAATTGTCGTTGTTCCCAGGTCGACCCTGATACGGAGTCGTAGCGCCTGTTAGGGTCCCACTTATGGGCAAATAATGAACCCCTATAGAGTAGTGAAGGGTTGTTCGCCACATCCACCTGTGAGAGAGAGGCTGGAGAATGGGAAATAATTCGTCACCCAATAGGACTCGGAGACGCTTTTGAACTCTATCGAGACTGGAGGTGTGAGGACTGGGCAGCTCTCGCTGAAATACGACAACAGTACCCCATTTTAAGCCTGATTTCCCTCTTGTAAAGGTAGAGGATAGCATGAGGAGTCAGGTACTTACCAGAGCGGTACAGGGAGCCGGCCATCTTTCTTGCATCTTTGGCGATGGATCGTATGTAAAAGTTCCATTTGAGGTCAGGGATGAGTTTAAGGCCCATTAGTCTCTCAAAGTACGGTGCCTCTCCGAGGAGGTAGTTCGAACTAGAATATTATTGAAATTTATTCAACAAGAGAAGCCTCAAACAATTACTATTGACATGGCGTCATGTCAGTGGGACTTTCGATAAGATTGGTGTGGATTATGATGGGCTACAGAGATCTCCTTCAGTACTAGAGATTTGCTTCTCAATTGCTCTAAACAGTTTGCCGTGTCATCTGGGGGAGTGGGGTTGATACAAGCGGGAGCAGGTGCGTTCTTGTGTGTGTATGTGTGTGTTTAAAGTAAAGCAGCCAAGACAATTTGCAACGAAGGCAACTTTCATCCTAGGCAAATTGCAACCAAGGTAATTTGCATCCAAGGCGACTTGAACGGTCATACTTAGATATTTGGGAACACCTTCAAGCAGAGATCATCTGAGCGGACTGAGTTACTTAGAATGAAGGTATTTTTCAGCTGGGCCCCACATGCAAGGTTACCAGCTTTCTTAGCATACTTCTCTCTCAATCAACACTAATAATAATAATAATACCTCGTTTCTGAATTTTAGATAATACTTGATAACTTGTGAGCGCAACAAACTTTGTGATGAAAGCAAAGATATAGGATACTAAGCGGGAAAATTCTTAAACTTCGGACAACATATGAAATGATTGATTGGTCTGTTTTTTATGGATTAGCAACCTTTGTGGGCAATTTAATTCTAAAACGTACTTTAGATTGTATGAATTCTCTTTTTGTGAGTGAATATTGCACATTGACAATCTTTTTTTTTTGGCGATAACAATGATTTTTTTTCAATATACAAGTACTACTATTTAATCCATAGCTGGAGTAGAAGGAATGGATTCATAACTTCCCAAGAGTATTTTCACGTAAGTGTATGAAACGAACCCGAAAGAAATTCGAAACTGATTCTCCAATTTCTCATTCCGAACGCTAACCATTGCACCACGCGCATATCATTGAAAGGTGGAGATATGGCCGATATGTGTTCAAACAAGAAAAATGAATTAGTGAAATGATGACAGTATATTCTCGCGGACCTTTATACAGAAGTGAATGAATATTAATTGCTTGACACGGTTAGTTTGTGAGTCAACGATTGGGGCTTCATTTAATTAATAACCTGGGTTGCGCTTCGGAATATATTAACGGAGCGTTCGGGGTGCTGTATAAGGTTCAGTCAATTAAACATCTACGGTTTATGTTTATGCTTAGGCTGCTTATATGAAGCTTCATCAACCGACTTTGTTCAGTGAGAAAGAGAAATTTCTTTGTTCTCTGTGTCTTATGGGTGGGTAGTGAGTAATTCTTTTCATGTTTGTTACTCATTAGGGGATTATTTATACTGATTTGTTTGTTCTTTTTAGTAATAAATTTATTTTAGTCGTGGCTCCTTTAATTACCCCTCGTGTCTATCGCTTTCACTGTCGCCATTTTGATTATTGTCGTTCCAACGAATCTTTCTGAAAAAGTGTTGGACGAAAAAGATCCCTATAAAAGAATGCGTTCTCTCATTTTCAAAGCCATAGTTAAATTCTGTTGTACAAAATCTTGTTAATATATATTTTTAAGAAATGGATTAAATCCGACATATTGTTGAAGCTCTGTTTTTTGTTTTTTAATTAAACAGCATTTCTTATGCAACTACATCTACCGGCAGAATTCGAACCTGCATCCCCTCTGGAGAACCGTCATTGGATCTAATGTGCCTAATCGCTCGGCCACGCAGGACTTACGGTCAAACGAAGTTCGAATTTTGCTTTTAAACACACACTCTCTCCCGATTCTCAAAACATCCATATCTGAATTGTGTTGTATGCTAACGTAAATACTGTTTAATTAAAAAACAGAGCTTCTACTCTGATATGAGTATCCATAAAAAATAACGTTTAAACAAATTAAATTAAAAATAACACACACAGACACACACACACATATATATATATATATATATATATATATATATAGATAGATAGATAGATAGAGAGAGAGAGTGTGTGTGTGTGTGAGAGACAGTGAGAGAGACAAGTCGGAATAATTCACGGAATTATGGTAATATGTAATATTTTGTCCGAAGAAGTTAACGAAAATAGGTGACTTAGTACACTTTCTTTTTCTATATACAGATAAGGAAACTTAGGCATGTCAGTCCCGACAACGAGTTCGGGGCGTGTAATGTCTCTTGCAATCATTTGCAATTTAAAGCGTTTTTGACATTATCTTTCCTGTCCGTGACGATATATTAATAAAAATATAAATAGTCGTGAGAATTAAATTACTTATTTGGCTTTTCTTTCTCTCTTCCAATTTTTTCTTCATTTTTTTTTTTGTTATTGTCTGCTTTTTCAAATTCTTTCTTTCTTTTCAAGCAAGTATTTCTTACGACCAACGGCTTTAAATTATTTCTCAATTTCATGCAATTAACTTTTTTCAGTTCTCTTGCAGTTATTACGTTTTATTTCTTTTCCTTTGTTCTAGTTTTTTCTTTTTTTCTTCTTTCTTTCAAGTTCTCTCTATCAAATATTTGTCTTCGTGATTTCTTAGAATTTTCTTTTTTCTTTTTTCCCTTCTTTTTTGTTGATTTATTTACGTTGTTTCTTTTTATCTCTTTGGTTCTATTTCTCAATCACCAAAGGTCGTTTCTTTTTCTCCTACTTTTTACCTTTTCTCTTTCCTTTCATTTTTTTTTTCCTTCTTTTTTTTCTATTTCTTAAATTTGTTTTCTCGCTCTTCTCAGTTTTGTCTCCCTCTCGCTTCACGATTTTGTTTCCTGAGTGTTTTTTCTATCACTCTTCTTTCTTACCTCATCTTTCTCTTAATCTCTACTAATTTATCTTCCATTCGCTCTTCTCTCCTGACTTTTGTCTCTCATGCTTTACTCTTGCCTTCTTTTTCTCTAACTATTTTTTCTTGAATTGTTTTTTTTTCTCTCAATCTTCTGCCATTTTTTCTCTTAATCTTCTCTCCTGTCTCCCCCCCGCTCTTCTCTTCTGCCTTTTCTTTTACTCTTACTCGTCCTTTCTTTTTTTTTTCTCTAACTCTTCCTTTCTGCCTTCTCCTCTCACCCTTCAATGCTTTGCCTCTTACTCTTCTTTTCCTGCGTCGTATTTCCATCATCTTTCTTTCCTAACTTTTCTTTCTTTTTGCTTTCCTCTCTTTTCTTCCATTCGCCTTTCTCTCTTGAATTGTCTTTCTCTCGTTTTTTTTCTCTTTAGTTATTTTTCTTTCGTTCTTCTCTTTTTCTTTCGTTCTTCTCTTTTTCTTCTCTGCTATCTTTTCTTTCTTTCTTTCTTTCTTTCTTTCTTTCTTTCTTTCTTTCTTTCTTTCTTCCCTCCTCTGTAGTTTTTCTTTTCCTTCTCTTATTCTTCTCTGCTATCTTTTCTTTCTTTCTTTCTTTCTTTCTTTCTTTCTTTCTTTCTTTTCTTCTTTTCTTTTCTTTCTTTCTTTCTTTCAAATGTTTAAAATATATATTATGCCTTTCTTTCTTCCCTCCTCTGTAGTTTTTCTTTTCCTTCTCTTATTCTTCTCTGCTATCTTTTCTTTCTTTCTTTCTTTCTTTCTTTCTTTCTTTCTTTCTTTCTTTCTTTCTTTCTTTCTTTTTCAAATGTTTAAAATATATATTATGCCTTTCTTTCTTCCCTCCTCTGTAGTTTTTCTTTTCCTTCTCTTATTCTTCTCTGCTATCTTTTCTTTCTTTCTTTCTTTCTTTCTTTCTTTCTTTCTTTCTTTCAAATGTTTAAAATATATATTATGCCTTTCTTTCTTCCCTCCTCTGTAGTTTTTTCTTTTCCTTCTCTTATTCTCTGCTATCTTTTCTTTCTTTCTTTCTTTCTTTCTTTTTCTTTCTTTCTTTCTTTCTTTCTTTCTTTCTTTCTTCCCTCCTCTGTAGTTTTTATTTCACTCTTCTCAACAAGTGGCATTCTTTGTTTTCCTTATCGTCTTTTCTTTCTCTCTTTACACCTGCTTGGTCTTTCTCACACTCTTATTTTCTTCTTTACTCATTTTGGTTTCTTCTCCTTTCTTTCTTTAGATTTTACATTTTCTTAAGCGATTTTGCCTTTTTTTCTGTTGTATTATATTATGATCAGTAGTCAACTTCTTTTGATAATTTCTGGCATTTCGACGAAAATCAAATTCTTTAGTTGTTTGGGTTACTCCATAACAGAAATTTTCATTCACAACCTGCCGATGCAAGAAAGAGGTCGCCTATTTCATGTTCTCCCCCTTTTGCTTGGTTGTCTTTCAATTTTTTAGCCCTGGCCTGGGCTGCAAAACACCGGATCCAAATTTAAACAAATTCTGCTTCATCCAAGCGACTTAAAGGATGCTATAGACGCCATATCTGCATTTATCAGTTTGATATTTTGTTATGCTCTTAAGATATTTTTTTTTATCATTTTTTTGCTTTGCCGTTTTCTTTCTTTATTTTCTTTCATTCTTTATTCTTTCCACCCACCTCATCATCTTCTTCATAACTACAATCGCCTTCTTCACTGTTATTCTCGTTCTCTGCCTACAGTCCTTCAAATGTGCTACGACTTTTTTATTAATCTAACCAACATTTGATTAACTCTGCGTTAGTCACCTCGTGTTTCTGAAAATTCATAGTCCGCTGGAGTGTGTGTACACCCCAATACAAAAAAGGCTTATAATGTTACAATTATGTAAAATATTGTTGCATTGCTGAAAAAAAAAACATGACAGGCTATCTCCATTACAATATACATCCACTCAAAACTTGAACTGAAGATTACAATAAATTTGTTGCATAAACATATATTGTCAATTGTAGATTAAACACATCAATACAATAATAGACAAAAGGTTTTATTCATAAAAAAAATAGCCACAATATATTTCGATGACGAGAAAAGAAAAATATTGCATTAGCTGAACTCATAATTACAGGACTGAAATAATAAAATAACAATAGTAATAATATATATATATATATAATAATATATATATATATATATATATATATATATATATATATATATATATATATATATATTGCCATCCACAGACACACTATTTCGCTGTATCACAGCTTTAAGAGATGCGGCTAGACGTCCGATTGGTCCAATTTGGTCCGATTTGGACCAAATTGAACCAATCGGAGTCGGAGATTCTACATCGAGGCTGAGAGGAAGGGGCATTTTAATGTTTTCTATGCTAAATACGTCAGTGACCCGGAGAGCTCAATTCAATTTGGGTAAAAAACAATGCATTAATAGCATTAATTATCCTTTTCTCAAGAGAACTCAACCGGGAGTATATATATATTGTTATCCACAGACTGTTTCGCTGTATCACAGCTCTTCAGTGCGGCTAGACGTATATATAAGGGAGAGGTTATAGTTGTTTCAGCGAGAGAAAAGTGTATATTTTAAAGAGAGGGGAGAAGCCGCAAACGTTTTTGGTTATAATGTGGATTTTTAAAATATATATTATGCCTTACTTTCCATATTTTGCTACACGGGTTTTCGGTCTCGGGACATTTATCAGGCAAATAATAGTGTTTATTTCGACATCTTATTAAAAAAATGAATTTTTCTTATGTTTTCGGATGTTTAACTATTGTCTTTTGAGTATAGTAGCAATCCAAATTTTTCTTGGAGTTGTGGAGACAATATTCTTCTGCTTAAGGGGTAATAAAACTATTAGGTTTGGTCAGAGAAAGGGCGAAGGAAGGAGGTCTTTGTTCTTATCTTTTTATGACCCCTGTATCTGTTTCAACCTGTCTCTGTTTTTGTGTATTGTGTGTGTTTTTGCTAGTATATGTATACATATTCCTTCTCCATACATATATATTGTTTTTATTATAAGGTATCATATATATATATATATATATATATATATATATATATATATATATATATATATATATATCCCTCTCTCATGTTCTGATCTTTAAGTTTAAATCGTCTATTGTGCGTGTATGTCACCACAAAATGTATCCTTAATGTATTAGACATCTGAGTATATTCATATTTCTCTCACTTAAACCGTCTTTGACTCCCCTCTTTAAAACTTCTCTCTGTTAAATGTTAATCCCCATTCATCTTTAGACCTTCCTGTTCTTCTCTCGTCTGTTACCCCTCCCTATAGCTTTCATTTACTCTAACATTCGTCCCACACTCCCATACATACACTCTCAATAAATTTTATTTTTTATTCCCGGAGTTGTTTTTTTTCTGTTTTCTTTTTGAATTTGTGGGTCTGATAAATTGGATCGTATTTACAATTCCAATGGAATAAATTATGACCATGGAATATTAGTGTTTAAGCCTTTTTATTATATCCTTACTCTGTCCTGGACATTGAGTTCTACCTGGATTCTATCCACTTGGAATTATTTTTTTACAAATATATATGTATGTACGTATGTATGTATGTATGTATGTATGTATTTATGTATATTTATATATATGTTAGATATATGATTGCATATATATGTGTATATTTACCACTAATATTATCAATATATATATATATATATATATATATATATATATATATATATATATATATACTTCCTGTATTGTGTAGGCTTCGTGTGTGTAGTTGTGATTAGTCTATTGTGTTTGTTTTTGCCAGTATGTGTATATATGTTCGTTGTCCATAGATATTTGTGGTGGTTGGAGAAACATCTTCTTAGGTGCCTGCTCCACAAAGTGACAGTTTTGGCCGAAGAAGTTGAGTGGAACTTTCTCCTTAATAATGGAATGGAAAGAGAATGAGGATGGCTTAACACTATTTACGTGGCCGGCAGGTCCTAGCCCTGCATGTCCGAACAGTCAAACACAGGTATGTAGATTGTTTAGGCATTTGCCATCGTGATATAGCAGAGACATGTTAGCAGCGTTCCGTCTGTGTGGAAGGGGTTGCAGAGTGAAAAATAATTCCCCATCCAGAAGACTGCGTAAACTCTGTCAAGGCAGCAGCAGAACAGATATGGCAGTTACACTCCATTCTTGCACTGATCTGACTCTTGTAAAGACAAAGTACGTTTGTTCTCATTTGACGTATTTCTGTGACTCTTGGGAATTTAAAAGTTTTAATTCTGGTTGATAATTAATGAGACCCATAAGGATAGGCTTGTTTTACGTCATCAGCTGCAGGGAAGTATAATAAAGAGGAAATACTTTAGACATGCACCGGAGTTTAAACTAAAATGTGACATGTGCATTATTGTCCCCAGCTCTTAATCCATCGAAAAAGAACAAAAAAATTGCAGATCCCCAGAAGACTGACAGCATCTCGACAATGATATTACTAGATAATTAAGAGTTTGCTAGTTTATTAGGGAGACTTTCGATAAATTTTCAGATTAAGCTCTAGAAAACCAATTGTAATGAAAAGTTCCATTCTGGTGTTAAATTGACTGATTAATTTCAAAATAACAATAAAAATTTGCGGAAGAAAATCGTTTAGCAGTCATCGATAATATAAGTTCGGCCTAATTTGCGTCTAGACCGGCTACCATTAGAGGCGTTGTTTACATACGTTTGCGTCGAGTAGTAATGCACGGAAGCTTACTTAGTTAACGAATTTTTACTGATTTTATTTTCTTACTCGTCTTGATTTCTGCGTAAATCGCAAAATTTAATTTAAAATTCGCGCATTGTGCAATAATCAAGACAAGTGAAACTTCCGTGCATTATTACTCGATGCAAACGTAGATAAGCAAAGCCAGTAGTGGCGGCCAGGCTGTAACCGCGACGCGAATGAGGGGAAATTGTCGATAAATCCTAAACGGTTTTCTTCCACAAACTTTTATTATTTTCTAAATAAATATGCAAATTTACAGCAGGAAGGAAATCTTCATTACAATCGGTTTTCGGGGATCAATCTGCAAAATATAACTATATTAAATATTAATTATTAACTTCATGACAAAAATTAAGCACGAAAACTAAAGTTTTAAGTCCGGAATTTTCGGCACGCCTGTGTCCTTCATCAGTGGCACGAGAAATAAACAGAAATGGGGAAGACTCACCGACAGTTGTTTTTGTGGTCGGTGTGAATCTTGGTGTAAAGTTTATTTTCATAAGAAGTTTCGCACAGCGAGGAACCAGACTGAGATCGTACTTTTGCTAATAATACCATCTATCTATCTATCTATCTATCTATCTATCTATCTATCTATCTATCTATCTATATATATATATATATATATATATATATATATATATGTGTGTGTGTGTGTGTGTGTATGTATGTATGTATGTGTGTGTGTGTGTATGTATATATGTGTAAACAGCTGTCTACGATTCAGCTAGTCCAAAGAGATTTTAAGAAACATGGCCATGTACTAAACCTTTTGAGAAGAACGCCATACACTGAACTTTTCAACACTCCCTCTCATATATATATATATATATATATATATATATATATATATATATATGAACACTAATAGTCACTCTATGCTAAATAATTCAAAACTTCAGTAAAATTTATCTTTACTATATAAAACTTCAATAAACATAAAATATAAATATCTTAGTTATATAAATAACAGATTATAAATAGCTAATGTATTTTTATTTTTAATATTTTTATAATATATATATATATATATATATATATATATATATATGGTCTGACGATTTTTTTTTTATAATAATGCTTCCAGAAAGAAAATAAAAGCCAACAGTCAGTAATATCAATTAAGAACTCGGCCTCGATGTGCTGTGTTTGGAAAATGAAACATTCCTATAACGGAAAACAATCCATACATTCAGTTAAAAAGTAAAAATTAAATCATCTTTGATAATGTCGAAATGTATCTGCGAAAATGCTCGGACATGTAAACGTTCGGACAATTTCTGCAAAATTCACGTCCAGAAAAAAAAGAAAAATATAACACAAGAAAAATTAAATAAAAAAACTTAACGGCAGTACCTTGTGATTTGTTTTAATGAAACTTGTATAAAAGACGGAATAGTGTCCAAATACACAGTTATATATATATATATATATATAAATATAAAAGTGAACATAGAAGTCAACACTTAGAGGCGACAGTCTGTTTCATGCTA